TTTCGCCAATAAACTAGTGATGTGATATGTTGGGCAAGAAATAATGGATGATTTTCTTCTGTTTCTCTTCTCTCTCATCTCCTTTTCTTTGTGGCATTATCGCTCTTCCTTTTTGTTTTTGTCACTTTGGCACTCAATGAAGGGGATTGCATGAGTCCCAATAAGATCATTTCTGAATTTTTCGGTGAGGATTTTAGAGATCTGCGAACTGTATCTGTTTTTCGTATATCGTGCGATTAATTTTTATTAGGTACTGTTTATATTTAATTTTAAATAAAAATATTTAAAATAATTTTTTATTAACAATGTAAGATGAACAGATACGATTCACAAATCTCTATAATCCTCACAAAGATGATTAGACGAGAATTCGGATTTGCATGAGTCCAATGTTTACCAGTAATCTAGTAATATGCTTCTTTTTTGGATCGACCAAGTGATTGGTCTGACTTTTTTTTTTAATTTTTTATTTTTTTTATGGTCTGAGTGATTGGTCTGACTAAGTGATATGTTAAGTGCTAAACACTATTGTGATAATATTGTTTTCGCCAGTAAATCTAGTGATGTGATATGTTGGGCAGGAAATAATGGAGGATTTTCTTCTATTTCTCTCCCTCTCATTTCCTTCTCTTTGTTGTATAATGTATGTGAGGGTTGTTTAACAGATTGATAAGAACGGTAATACAATCTAAAGATTCTCTCTGATCTTCTATAACTCTAATGGCGCGTTTACTAATCCGTAATCAAATTGAGAGGAATCGGATTGAGGAGGAATTTGATTGAGGAGGAATTGAAATGAGGTGGAATCAGAATCAGATTCCTGTTGAAATTGTTTACTAAAACTGTCTGGAATCGGAATACAATTCCATAAAGCTGTTTACTAATTCAGCAGAATCGGAATATAAACCAGTATGATTACTAAAATGCCCTTGTCCCAAATCAAATATTTTATATACTTTTTTTTTTAATAAAATTTGATATAGTATATAATAGTAACAAACTGATTCTGCATTGAGTAACAAACTGATTCTGCATGAAGTAACAAACTGATCCTGCATTGAGTAACAAAATGATTCTGCATGTATTTATAGAGTTACTTTAGATCAATTGAATTTACTCTAGGTCGACTGAATTAATCAACTAACTGTTCCAGAACGGAGCTGCATGAAAAGGGAAATAAACCAGTATGATTACTAAAATGCCCTTGTCCCAAATCAAATATTTTATATACTTTTTTTTTAATAAAATTTGATATAGTATATAATAGTAACAAACTGATTTTGCATTGAGTAACAAACTGATTCTGCATTGAGTAACAAACTGATTCTGCATGAAGTAACAAACTGATTCTACATTGAGTAACAAAATGATTCTGCATGTATTTACAGAGTTACTTTAGATCAATTGAATTTACTCTAGGTCGACTGAATTAATCAACTAACCGTTCCAGAACGGAGCTGCATGAAAAGGGAAATAATAGTCTAGGGTTAAAAGGATAATCTTGGAAATAATGAAAGTAGGTGAGGGCATAAAAGGAAAAAAGTTAGCATTCTGATTCCCCAAGCCATCTGGAATCCAAATACCTCCTTTATCTTAGGAATCCAAATCAGCCAAATATTGGAATTGGATTCCAAAATTTGTGTGGGACCCACTAAATTTTTAATTCTTCCAGATTTAGTAAACACCGGAGTATACCGTAATCGGAATTCAATTCCGTTTCTTGATTCTGATTACCCTTACGTAAACGCGCCATAAGACTTTTGAGATAACTGTCAAGTTTTGCCACGGCGTCAAGATTTACTTGAGGTGTCAACAGTAACAAGCATGCAAGAGGAAGGTAAAAGTTGGTGTGGACATGAGTTGATAAGAAGGAAGATTGTTAAACCAAAGAAATAAAAAAATAACATGAAATATGTGGCACATCTTTAAGACATCAAGTTTATTTTGAACAGACTAGATTTAAAAGAGAGGATGGGAGGGGATAAAAATAGGAGGGAAATTTGGAAAAATAACTAAAAATTAGACTTCTTTGTGATGGCTTATTTTATCTCACGGGAAGAGAGGGGGCGGAAGGCATAGAGAGAAAATAGAGAGAGATGTGTGTTTGTAGGATTGTGTAGAGGTTGTGTTATTCTCATGCCTTTATTTATAGTAATAAGGGAGGGAGGATTCCTTCTTTTCCAAGGAATACAAGTCCTAATAGGGAAGAATAACTAGAATCAAATATAATCTAGGATTTGCACAATCATACTTAAATACAAAGTTTATAACACTCTTATAGAATTATACCACTATTTTAAATTAATGATAATCAAAGCCAAAAGTTGATATGAAAGTACACGTATACCCCTAAGATTGTTGGAAAATTAGTTATTTGTTTTATTATTTGAATTTGGGCCTAGTACGTTAGAATTAGGTTTTTGTTTCCTTACTTATTAAGGATTATAGTTACTTTATTATAAAAAGAGAGCTTTGTTAACTCGTAGAAAATAAGATAGTCAAGATGTAGTCAATTCGAGTAATGTCGTTGTCTCGACAATGTCTATTTTCAGTTAATAAAATATTTCTTCTTTATTTTTATATTGTTGGTCTCTGATTTTCAACTTGGTATCAGAACAGGTTCAATCATTCTGAATAATCTGCTTTGGGTTGTTATCAGTTTCATATGTTTGTTGCTTCTATTGTCGTTTAGGTTTAGGTTTAGTTTGATATTAAAAAAAAAGGTTGCTGAAACATTGTCATGCCTCGCGTTGTTTAAATCAATTTCATCGCTGTTCATTGAACCCCTAGGCCCGCTGACTCCACTGCTGCACTTGCCGTACCTGTATCACCGCCACCGTATCTGACTCACCCCAAACCTTGTTGCCAAACAAATCAGCCCTTATTCACACTATTCCTCACATAATATTCACACCTCACTTTATGCCTAAACCTTCCACTGCATAGTCATCACGCCACCAAGTCAAGCTTGCAACATGTTGGCCCACCACCATCTGCTGCTGCCTGAACCCACCTTCAACTTCGATCCATCATCATCTAGTTGACTGTCCACTATTTGTTTTGATGAAGCTCAGATCCAAGAACCCACACTCGGATCAAGTTCATCTTGGCCTTGCACTTTATCGTAGTCTCGTACTCACACCATGCAGCCAAACCCACTTGATCAATGAAGAAAAGAAAAGGATAAAAAAATGAGGTTTGTTTTTTTAGTGTTTTAGGCCCATACGGTTATTGGTGTTGTAGGACTATTTAACTGAAGTATTTTAAAGGAATAAACAAAGGGAGGCCGACAACAATAAGAGAGAAAAGAGAGAGATTCAATTGTGAGGTATGTGTTGTATCACCTCATTGTGCTTTTATTTATAGTAATAGGATATGTAGAATACTTATCCTTTTAGGATTACAACTCTAATAGATATTTAACTACCAAGGTTCAAAGATATCCCTAGATTCGTTAGGATTTACACAATCACATTCCTATTCTAAGTATGACTGCGACACTCCTCCTTGAGTGTGTAAATACTTAAACAAAACATTGCATCAGATCTTCAGCAGATAAGGTAGAACAATTAATGTGAATGCGAGTCTCAAATTTAAAGAAAGTATGCATTGGTGGTAAAACTCACAAAACCTCACTATGGTAAAACCTAAGGTAGGTAAAAACCCATAGACTAAGGAGAAAAGTGAGAATCATGCATAATGTCTAAACAAACGTCAAATAGGACGAAAGTAGTGAACTCAACGGAGTATGATCATCCTAGGATGGGTGCCTCATCAAAACCTCGTTAGGTAGCAAAAACCCAGTGGGAAAAATGCGCATAATCGTAGGAAAAAAAGTATATTAAGACCAAGTGAGTATGCTTCAGGATATTCCCACTGAGTTAGACATAACTTCCAAATAAGAGAACTACAAGCGATTCAACTTAGATAATTTACGCACATCGAATCATTAGACGAGTTTTTGAAAAGTAGACTTGGGCAATGACTTGGTAAAGAGATCAGCCAGGTTGTCTTGGGAACGGATTTGCTTGACTTCAATGTTTTGATGATGTTGCTGATGGTGAGAATAAAAAACTTCGGCGCTATGTGTTGGTTTTATCTTCCTTAATGTATCCTTCTTTACTGCATGATAGATGCTACATTGTCTTTAAAGATTGTTGTAGGAATGTCAATGATGGAAATAAGACCATTAGTGCTTCGAATATGTTCCATGACTGCCTCAACCAAAAAACTCTAACGCGATGCTTTATGCAGGGCGAGAATCTCAACATGGTTCGAAGAAGTGGCAACTAGCTTTTACTTGGTAGACCTCTAAGATATAGCAGTGTCTTTAATGGTGAAGATACAGCCTGCTTGAAAATGTGCCCTATGTGGGTCAGACAGATATCCAGCATCTGTGTAACCAACAAAGCGGGAATCAACCCGAGAATTGAGGGGGACAGTGGCTCCTCTCGAGGATTCGTGGCTGTAGAACAAGCCCAAATCTGTCATACCCTTGAGGTAGCGGAAAATGTCTTTCACACCATTCCAGTGTCTGCGCGTAGGCACATTGCTGTATCTAGCCAAAAGATTAACAGCGAAGGAAATATCGGGTCCAGTGCATTGAGCTAAGTATAATAAAGCCCCAATTGCACTTAGGTATGGAACTTTAGGCTCCAAAATCTCTTCCTTATCCTTCTTAGGAGGAACGGGATCTCGTTTCACATCTAGAGTCCAAACGACCACGCTTTATGATAGGAGCATATTTAGGCGACTTAGTTAGCTTGTTTTCTTGCATTTATGTTGTTAGTTTCTTAGTTATTTTAGTATTTTAAGCTATTTTAATGTGTTTGTAGGTCCAAAGGGCTAAGGAGGCAAGAAAGTGCATTTTAGAGCATTTTGGAACAGTTTTGGGCTTGAATGGATATCACATGCTTGGAGCAAGGGAGATGGACGAAATTGAAGACCTAAAGATGCTAGGATTCCTAATTGAAAAAGAAAAAGGATTCCTAATTGAAGATGGATTCCTAAAAGATGAGGATTTCTACTTACATAAGGATTCCTACAAGAAGAAGGAATGTTAAGCCAAGGTTTTCTACTTTGGTTTTAACCTTTCCTAATCCTAAAAGTACTTAAGTTCCAGCAACAAAGAAAACTCCTAATCATATTAAGACACTAAATAAGAACTTCTAGAAGTCCTAAACCCCTTGCCACACCTCCCTTGTCCCTTTCTCTTCCTTGTCGTGCAAGGGAAAGCTTTTCTTTCCTATTTCCTGCACCAGATCACATTCCCTTTTTAATTAAAAGCCTTACCGCATATCTTCTTACTCTTTCCTTTGATTTTTGATTTTGTTTTCCTTTTTTTAGTAGTTTTGACTTAATTTCTGTTAACCTAAGTTAGGGTTTTGATTTCCTAAAACCTTAAATACTTCCCTTTGCCGCACAAAAATACATCATTCTTGCCATACATTCTCCAATACACACATCCAACCGCACTCTTCATACAATTCTACGAATTCATTCACTCCAAAAACACATCATTCATGCTCCGCCCCACCCATACACTTTCATCACCCATCACTCATCCACCACCACAATTCACCACAAAAATCATCAACCATACCTTGTTCCGTAGCAAAGAAGAAGAAGGAGAGCCCTTGGACGTGTTTGCCATTCAAGTTAAAGTTGCTGGACCGTTTTTAGGTGTAATCTTTCTTTTGTTTTCAATGTTTAAGTTTAATAATCTTTGTTTTGCGAGTATGAGGAACTAAACCCCTCTTAGCTAGGGGGAATTTCGAAACCATGACTATACTTGCAATATGATTTGATTACATCCAGTTGTAATTTCATAAATTGTGAATTCAATTTACTTATCTGTTTGAATTAAAACTTGTTTGTGTATGTGGGTTGAGAATGCACACTTAATTTGCATGCATAAATTTGATGCTAGGATATAAGGGAGTTTCACCTAATCGTTATGAACTTATATTCATAAGTAGTGGAGGTTGCTAGTCACAATCGTGTTAAGTAAATTTCTGGTATAAGTATCATGCGCTTTCATAGTTACGAATGCCTTGTCAATACTTATGATTTTCATAGAACTTAATGATCTTTGATTGTATCTCTATTATGCGCTTTCATGTAGGGAACTTTTGAAGAATAATTTGATTGCGATGTGCTATTTCCGTCCAATTCAATGACATAAGGAAAATCTGAGTGTTAATTTAAGCGTACCTAATAAATCTGGGGTGTTGATATTTATGGTTTATTGAAAGAAACAACTGGAAATCGATTTGTATGCAAGTGTGTCATGTGTGGAGAAGAACCCTCTAGCTAGCCCATCATCCATCCAATTTACCCAATTTCATCCAAACTTTGTTTTAGTTTACAATATGTTTGTTTTACTTTCAAATTCGTCAAAACCAAATCCCCCTTTACTTTGTTGAGTCATATTTGTTAGAAACTGTTTTAGTTTGTGTTTTTCAGTGTTTTGAGTCAAGATAAAACCAATTTTCGTCCAAATTCACTCTTAGTGACAAGGGCCCGCCACCCAGGCCCAACAACCCGGCGGCCCCGACAAATAATCCCTCATTATCGTGTCCGCATCCCAACGCGATTTTGTTAATCGAACCCGAGCTCCCAAACGACAGCGTTTCAGTGACGTAATCGCCGACGGTGTAGGATCCGTCGCCGTACGACACCTGATAGAGGCACTTATTGGCGCGGCAGCCGGACACCTGGAGGGCCTGGCATTGCGGCGCATCGCACGTGAGCTGGCTGTAGGTGGAAGATCCGGCCGGGTTGAAAATCGGGTCAGATTGCTGGTAGCAATCGGAGCAGGGGCCGCACTGGAGCCAGTTGACGTCGCTGCCGGTGTCGAGCACCATGTAGAACGACTTCGCCGGAGTCCCGACGCCGATCCGGGAGAAGTACTCGCCGCTGCCCTGGCTGACGCCGGAGACGACCGGGGTGGAGAGGTCCTGGGGTTGGATCTCGGCGTGCATGGGCTCGAGATCCCCTCTTTTTATCCCCTGGAGCGCCAGCTGGAGCTTGGTGTGGAGCGAGTTCACTCGGGCCGAGTCGCGGCCGAGTCTGGTGAGGGTGAGGGATTTGTAGTCCTTGTGCTGGGAATTGAAGAGGACGTCGCGGGGGTGGAGCTGGAGGGAGAAGGCGGAGGAGTTGAGGGGTTGGGATTCCTGGGATTGGGATTCCAGCGGTTGGAGGGACTCCGGATCGAAGGAGAGGACAGCGTGGGCTTTGCGGAGGGAGGAGGAGACGTCGAGGAAGGTGGCGGTTTCGGATTCGGGTAGGGTGCGGGAGAGTGAAGTGAGTGTGAAGAATGCTGAGAAAATGGCGAAGTAGAAAAACGTCTTCTGAGCCATTTTTGCAGAAAGCAGAGGGCTGAGCTGCTCAGAGATGAGTGGGAAGTGAAAGTGGGAGATGGACTTTATTTAGCAACATATCTAGAGAGAGAGAGAGAGAGAGGGTTGGTGACGTAAAGATTGAAGAGCATTGGGAAGTGGTTTGGGACTGGGGCCCAACTTAATTTGGATTTTGAAAAGCTGGCGGCCATCTCTAATTTTACCAACTTTCTGTGTGAAAAATTGAAAATGGATTTATATTCACACTGTTTAATCAGTGAGCTTTGTTCGATTATTGATTGTCGATAACTATGTCGTTACTTGGAAATATGGACAGATTTTTTTATATAAAAATCGAAATAATATACTGTAGATGAATTTAAAAATTTTTTTATTGATTTTATTGTTAGGGATCAGGTTTAATGACTATTTTATAAAATTCTAAAAGACATTAGGCATTAGTCGGGTAGTAGGCCCGTAGAGCCTACGTAACTAGACGGAACCTAAGCAGACTAAGCAGATTTAAGTAAATTTGTTATATATTGTATAAATAAGTGCGTACTTATGCTTAAAAATAAATAATTGCATTGTGATGCCTAAATTACAAAATAGAATGACATATAGATTATAACGTATTAGAATATAATGAAAATATGGAGAACAAGCATATAGTGTGTGTTCATAAGTCTTCTACAATTTTTGTGTGTTCATAAGTCTTCTACAATTTTTGATGAAAATAAAATACAAAATGAAAGTTATCTATTTTCTATCTAAGTAATGGTTGCAACCTAGGCGAGTTTGGGTTGGCTAGGCAACGCTTAAGCAGGTCTATGCGCATTTCCTTAATTTTCAAACACCTAGAGATTAATAGGAACGATGACCAGCCATCTAGTGCATACGCAGAACCTAGGTAGGGTTAGGCATAAATTTTTTAAACAATGCTATTTTTATTAATAAACCAAAGTTTATTATAACTTCTAAGTTCTAACGTGACATCATTCCATTATGTGCCATAATCGAAAGGCACTTATAAATACGTGTTTATTTGTTTTTTTAATCTTAATTTATATTGCAGAAATGGAAAATGAACAATATTCTTTTGAAATTTATGCTTGTGTGCTTTTTGATGGCAGAAATGTCGGCAGTGGTTTGTTTATTTGTGTTGCGTTTTTGCATTTCTTTTTCTCCTTCATTTCGGGCGCAAAGGTAAAAGTTAGGTGATTGATTTCAACCGATGATGAGATTAAAGGTGATATTAATAATTGAAGTCAAGATCTATGGCTCTCTTTCGACATCCGTACAGCTGAAGAAACACTTATGCGTTACCACCAAAAACAATATTTCTCGTCTTACATATTTTTTCACGTAATTTTATAATTGCATGTATAAATTGTTAGAATCGACCGCATTACATGATTAGGTTTATGGTGATCATACACCAAAATTTAGGATGATGAGCAACAATACTCTGTCTTTTTACTGAACATTATCGGTTAGTTATCGATGATTACAAAATTCAAGATTGCACACATTTTAAGAAAAATTAGTATTACGGTTTAGTAGTATTTATCTATATCAATAAGTGAGATTTCTAAAATTCGATTCGACTCACATAGATAACGATGATGTATTATTTTTTTGTGTTTAGTTCGATACTTAACTAGTAACTGACCCATATTATTCGCCTAATTCAGCCTCCCAATAGGATATCCTCCTCCTCCTCATACCTCATAGGGTAGTATTTTGTTGTAATAATTCTTACAACAATATTATGCATGTACATATATAAACACGCATATACCTATACGCATGTACTAAGACATTATTTAGTAATTTTTCGAATATAATAATTCTTAGATTAAATTTAACTTGTTGAATAATAGAATTCGAAGAGGATAAAGTGATTGATAGCAAAGATTAATCTGTTTAATTAAGCAATAAGCATTTTTTTGTGCTTTACCAACCTACCGCATTAGTCCAAGTTTCTCGAATGCCTACAGTCTCATATGAAAAATGAATCAACGGTGCAGAAAGAGTATTGGTAATTTCTGCATCGCAGTACTGGGAGTGTATTTCTGCTCATCGTCTTTAATTGATAGTAATGTTGACTACTTGTTATTATTGGATGAGTATAAATTTTTATATTTATGAGTATAAATTTTGATATATGTAACTCTCAACTACACAGATCTCAAAATTTAAATTATTCGAAAGCAATAAATAAGATGGTCAACATCACTATCACTTTAAAGTAGTGAACAAAAATATTCTTGTAGTAATGGTATCCTATTGTTGCAGCTATTTCGAAAGAGCGGATGGACATTGACACCAAAATTAATAACTCAAGATTCTCATTTATGAATCACATCAAACGATATGTCAATTTTTGAATGTGAAAACATTACAGTAAATGGGAGGTAGATATCATTTCATATCATATATGGATATATATTTTCAAGTGAATGAAGCATGACCAACGATTACCAAATCAAGTTTGCACCATTGATTTGGATGATCGGAGTAGGAAGCTTAGAAGATTTTAGATTTTCATAGCCGGACATAGATTTTGCTTGTTTTTTCACAGGCCGAGTTTTGACGAGCTAAACACAAGCTTCAGTTGTTTCCAACTTATTTTCAACTCCTGCATGTAAAAAAAAGTAAAAACCAAATACAACCAAATTGATGGAATCAAACTTGAAAGTTTTTGTTGAAAGAGGCAAATGCTCAAAATCTCCACTTCCTTATTGTTTTTTTTTTTGTCACAGGTTACCCTACAAAGAGGGCACCAGATAAGATACATTACCAACCACACAAATTTACAACATTTACAGTTGTTGAGGTCCAAATACAAAAAAGACCAAAAGAAAATATGGACCCCAAAACAAAGCCTAAGCCACAAGTTTAAGCCTAGAAACAAAAAAGCCTAACTTCCTTACAACTGCTGTTGATGCGTCGCTGCAAAACCTCCGTCCAACAAATGCCCAAATCCAGCCAAGTAATTTTCAAACACCTAGAGATTAATCGGGACAATGACCAGCCGTCTAGTGCATACGCAGAACCTAGGCAGGGCTAGGCATAAATTTTTAAAACAATGTTGTTTTTATTAATAAACCAAAGTTTATTGTAACTTCTAAGTTCTAACGTGACATCATTTCATTATGTGCCATAATCGAAAGGCACTTATAAATACTTGTTTCTTTGTTTTTTAAACTTAATTTATATTGCAGAAATGGAAAATGAACAATATTCTTTTGAAATTTATGCTTGTGTGCTTTTTAATGGCAGAAATGTCGGGAGTGGTTTGTTTATTTGTGTTGCGTTTTTTGCATTTCTTTTTCTCCTTCATTTCGGGGGCAAAGGTAAAAGTTTGGTGATTGATTTCAACCGATAATGAGACTTGGGCTACAAGAGCAGGCTGGATCACAGGAGCAGGCTGCTCAATGCGCGGTGCATGTGAATGCGAGGCTTGGGCTTGGGTCCACGTAAACTTGGATGGCAGGGCTTGGATCATGGTCTTGGTACCGTGAGCCTTGGATGGCACGGCTCGGGCCGTGGTGAAGGCTCCATGGACCTTACCACGAGTGGCTACCGAAGTAGCCACCGTGGTGGTTCCCATGGTGGACGTGGTGAAGGCACCATGGACCTCGCCGCGAGTGGTTACCGAGGTAGCCACCACGGTGGTTCCCATGGTGGAAACTCGTGGTGATGATGCCGCTCCCCTTATTGTCGCATTTTGCCTCACAGATCTCCGCAATCTCATTTCTTGAATATTAGAATTTTCACTTGTGGAATTTTTTAAATTTCTAGCCATTATATTTTTCTTATACGTTTTATCAAAGAACCTTTGCAAGTAAAACATTCTATAAATAAGAACGTATGAAAAATATTCAAATGGTCTAGAAAACAAAGAAAAAACCTTTTTGCGCGAGAGTCTTTTACGAGTGTGGATTTCAACTCTCAATGAAAGCACCAATTTGTGAATGCAAATTTTTTCCTCCTTGATCTTGGACGATTTTGCACCTACAAAACAACTAGCACCTTAGGTTAAGGCCAAAAGCCTCACGCGCTCACGATGAATGGGGGGGCTTTGGCCGAAGAACCTCCGATGTCAAAGTTAGAATTTTAGAGAAAAAAAGTGTTTAGAGTGTTTAGGATTTTTTGCAAGAGGATTCGAATGAATTTTTGGTGAGAATAGGTGCCTATTTATAGAGTTAGGCCTTGTCCAATTTTGAATAAAAGTAACCAGCCCCTAAAGGTTTTTTGTAGGGTTCAATTTCATGTTTAATTAGCCAATTTATTGGCTAATTAAATATGAAAAGAATAAATGGGTGGTTATAAAAATGAATGACTATTTTAATAAGGAAAATGGGAAAGGTGAGGATGGGAATGGTGGTGGCCGGCTTTGACTATCAATTTGAGTGATTTTATTGACTATTAAGGATGATTTTAGGAGATATGGTAGGTATATATCATTTAGCTAATTGATTAGCTAAATAATGAAATAGAAAAGACTAGGTTTTGGGAAATACCTTATAGAAAGGATTTGATGAAAGAGGTTTTTAATTGTTACCTTTTTTGGGCACTTTTGACTTGATTGAAAGATGATTGCCCGCTGCTCGTGTGTAGGAATCCTGGTATGCCTCAAGGGTATTTTTGTCCTCTTTCGTCCAAAAGTCCACGTGTCGTCTAGTGAATATTTTTGGCTCCACAACAGGTTACCCTACAAAGAGGGCACCAAGTAAGATACATTACCAACCACACAAATTTACAACATTTACAGCTGTTGAGGTCCCAATACAAAAAAGACCAAAAGAAAATATGGACCCCAAAACAAAGCCCAAGCCACAAGTTTAAGCCTAGAAACAAAAAACCATAACTTCCTTACAACCGTTGTTGATGCGTCGCTGCAAAACCTCCGCCCAATAGACGCCCAAATCTAGCCAAGTAATTCCACAAAAATGATGAATATACGACTCCAACAACCATCCCAAAGCACCATAGATGATAGATCTGTAACAAAACACAGGAAGCTGATGAAAGAACTCATCAGCAACAACGTCTCCGAAGGCAACAAAGCCATCGAAGACAAATCCATAGGAGGTGGTGGTGTAAACACCTGAGCTGAAGCCTGCACCGGAGCTTTACGCACATCCCGAGAAAATCACAACAACACATCCTGAGAAAATTATCACAAAGTAGCTATAAATCCAAAATCAAATGGGTTTGCGGAGGGCCAAGGAGGTGAAGGATGGAAACGATGGTGAAAAGAAATTGGAATTGATGGCATAGGAATTAGAAAATTAAAGCACATATTGGTGACGATTAGTAGACAGCTTGCAGGGAAAACTAAACCCGAGAACCACTGACCCAGGCCATGGCAAGGGCCGGTGACGGAGGAGAGGGAAGTTTGAAGAAGGCTCATAACACATGTTGAAAAGGCTCTCACGGGGTGGGGTGGAGAGAAAAGCTCTCACAAAAGGAGAGAACTGTACCAAGAACTAGTTACAATTCCTTATTGTTTATTAGACTTTAAAATTTAAATGCTTCTAGCTTTACATTTATTTAAGATAATCTGTTTTCATATTACATTGATTTAAGGTGGTTAAATAGTTTCTCTATCATCTTTTTTTTTAACAAACGATATTATCTACACTAAAAAGGAGGGAGTGAGCATAACCTCACAATGAGCTAGGAATAATTTAGTTCAAATTCGTTTTTTATGAGAATCGAACCTAAAATCTCTCACTACTAACAAAACATACATATACAAATAAAGACCTAATTACAAAAAAAAAAAAAAAAAAAAAAAAAAAGACTACGATAGACATCAAAGCAAACACACAGAAGGGAAAAAAATCCTTACCGCTCTGTTGCTGCCACAACAAACACACAAATCGTAACTTCATGATGTTGTAAATGTGGTTTTCATGTCAATCTAGAAATTGGTTGCATGGTTGTCATGCATGTCCTCAAGTTAACAAAAAATTATAAGGAAAACTAATGAAAATGGCTTGAAAACTTTGAGTTTTAACGATAAGGACAAAATAAAGGGTAAAATTAATAGTACCAGGATTGATTTTTTAATGTAAAAATGTGGTTTTTCGTTAAAGTAAACAGTACAAGGAGCTTTTCGTTAAAATTTCCAAAATTATAAGATCAAATAACCAAAAGGCAGAAATCGATATAATTTTAAAACATCACTAGAATAAAACATGCCAAAGGGCACCCCTTTTTTGGACACTACTCACAATCTCTGTCTTTATGAAGTACAACCTTGCACCTAAGTATCAATGTTTTCTCTAGTACACATCAAAAGCGCACATTTAAGTTGCACATCTTATAAGACCCATTAAATTATTTAACGTAACAAAATCTAACAACTCTTGTTCACATACGTAATTTAAATGTGCAACAGAGAAGATTCACCGAAGTATGCTCTTCCCATGTAGCCGTTACCGTTGGCGCGCTTAGTCAGTCTATTAGGGCGGCAATTTACAACAATGTCAGCAAACCAATATGAAATCTTCAAGATCAATCTCTCCCTTCAGGCTGTGCTCCCTCCTCCGTCGCGAGAAGAACCCGAATCTCGCTCTCCAACTCTTTCAAAATTTCAACCCCGATACGGAAACACCGCCTGGACAGCCCTTTCGCTACTCTCTCCTTTCCTACGACCTCATCATCACCAAGCTCGGCCGCGCGAAAATGTTCGACCGGATGGAGCAAGTCCTCCACCAAATGAAGCAAGAAACCCGTTTCTACCCGCCGGAGATAATCTTCTGCAATGTCATTTCGTTCTACGGTCGGGCTCGCCTTCCCGACCGCGCTCTCCAAGTGTTCGATGAAATTCCTGCTTTTCGTTGCCAAAGGACGGCAAAATCGTTGAATTCGCTGCTGGATGCGCTTTTCAAGTGCGGGGAGTTTGCGAAAATGAGGAGATTTTTTGTGGGTTTTGAGAATTACGCGGCCCGTCCCAGATGAGTGCTTCGATGATGCGCGGAAGGTGTTCGATGAAATGTTTAGGAAGGGTGTACGTCCGACTACGGTGATGTTTGGGACGTTAATTTACCGGCTTTGTTCGAATTTCAGGTTAAAAAAACATTTAAGTTGAAATATGATATGGTGGTGATTCATGGCGTTGTGCCTAATCTATACGTGTATACCTCTTTGATCAAAGGGCTTTGTAAGATTGGTGAAATGAATTTGGCTTTTAGGCTGAAAGAGGAGATGGCAACGAAGAAAATCAAACCCGATTCAGCTGTTAATTCAACTTTAATCAGCGGGCTTTACAATGCTGGCCGGAAAGAAGAGGTTTCCGGGCTTTTGGACGAAATGAGATTGTACGGGTGCAAACCAGATACTGTGACTTTTAATGCATTGATTCACGGGCTGTGTAAAGAGAAGAATTTTGAAGCAGCATACAGAGTTTTGGATGAGATGGCGGAGAAAGGGTGTGAGCCAGATGTTATTAGTTACAATACAATTATCGGTGGACTATGCAAGGAAGGGAAATGGAGGGAAGCTAATGATTTGCTCGAAGATTTACCAAGACGCGGTGTACTCCCGACTTTGTTTCATATCGAACAATGTTCGATGGACTTTGCGATTGGAGACAGTTCAAAGAAGCAGCCCTTGTTTTGGACGAGATGGTCTTCAAGGGCTTCGCACCCCGGCTTGCAAGTACACAGAAACTTGTTGAGGTGTTGTGTGAGGAAGGTAGTGCAGAGTTGTTAGGGACAGTTTTAACTAGTCTGGGAAAGGGAAAGGGCAAATTTCTTCGTGTAGATATGTGGGGAATGCTGACTGATATGGTTTGCAAGAAGGACAAGCTTGCAAATGTATTTAAACTTGTTGATATAGTTTAGAAATGCAAATGTAGCATTTATTTTTTGGCCATGCCAATAAGATAAAATTGGGTTTTGATAAAGTGAAGCCATTCTTATATAACGTCACACCGTAATTTATTTTTCCCGTAGACTTTCATTGACAAATATGTTAGTGATCACGTACTTGAAGCATTGATAGTATCACTAATATAAATGACATATCCATTGTTGTTGATAGGATTATCGATATTGAATGGTCGGATTAGCCAACTGATCAAATGATAAAAAGGTCGTACTCAGTGCACAAGGCTCCCGCTTTACGCAGGGTCTGAGAGAGGTGAATGTCGCCTAGCCTTACCCCCATTTATGGAGAGGCTGCTCCTAAGTCTCGAACCCGAGACCTACCGCTCATGGGCGAAGGCACTTGCCATCGCACCAAGTGCGACCTCTCAACTGATCAAACGATATAACTAAAAAAATTATACGTATATAAGTTCTTTTAACTATACGATATCCCGTTATCATTTGAAATAATACTGTGACCTGGATGCTTTAGCCACCCAGTGAATGAGAATGACATTATTTGTTTTAAAGTTTAACCTAAAAAATCAAATATATTTCAGCGCCCAAAAATCATTTCAAAAATAAAATTAAATGCCAACGTCGCGATGGGGACGTAGCTCATATGGTAGAGCGCTAGCTTCGCATGCGAGAGGCACGGGGTTCGATTCCCCGCGTCTCCACTCCTTCTCTGCATTTTTGTTGACATTTTATTGTCACGGTACTCTCTGCACATCTCATGTAGCGATTTCTGAAATCTGTTTTTCGAATTCACTTTGCAGAAACCCTGCATAATAATCATCCGAAAAGCGTTTTCCAAAAACATAATTCAAATATCGTATTTAAAACTGTCGTGCAAGACAAAGATCCTTCTTGTTTCTGGAACCAGATTTTGTCTTTGATAATTCACAACCAAAACCCACCACTATTGAACTGATACAGAGTTCCCACGTTGAAAAAAATGAAGTTTTGCTTTAGCTTTAAACAATACTGGACATTTCCGTTTTATTGTCGATTGATGTTTAGTTGAATGCTCACATTTTAATGACAAATACTCCTCTATTCGAATCTTGTCTTGCAAAAGACGAGTTAGGGGTGGGGACGAGGAAGGAAGAGTTTCGGGAGCAAAGCCCCCGGAGTTTAAAGTTCAAACCCTTACCCTATATATATAAGCTATATCAACATATTGGTCAATTAATTTACGGGGCCAAGTTAATGGAACAATATGCTCCCATCTATGCACTCAAGTTTGAATCTTTCTCCAACAGTTTGAAAGTCTAGTCTAAAATATCGTTTGTATAAAAATTATTCACTGATAAATGATTGGTGTCATAATTGTTTTGTCGTTCTTAACTAGATGAAAACCGTGAGCTCTAAAAGAATGAGGAGATAAACTGAAAATTTATGAACTGTAGATCTATATATTATAGAACAGGATGTTTCTTTCGCCTTTAATGTTCACATCTCTCTTAACCTTCATCACTCTCATTTTTTTTTGCTTTAATTTAACAAAAAAACTACAACAACAACAACAAAGTTTTATCCGACTAAATGAAATCAGCTGTATGAATCTTTGAACGCCACTGCACTCGATTTTGTGCCAAGTCTTCCGTTAACTCCAAGTACTCTATTTTTTTCTTAGAGTATTAGAAAATATGCCCTGAACTGCTAGTATTATACCATGAAACAGTTCCTTTAATGTGAGCAAGTTTTATGTACGTAAAAGCAGCACAAATTTATGCCAAATTAACTTATACTGCAATTCTTTGTGTAATTATTTGGTTTATGGATTACGATGATGACACTAATAGACTCTAGCAGTACTCTCAACATCCATCACTGGCGGGCTCAACGGAGCTTAAAAGCCCGTTGCCTCTGAGCTGCATGCAGTGATCTTCTGCATCCACCTGAGCACACACAATTACGACCGCCAGGCCGTTGTGATGCGCCTCCTGCATGACGTTCACCGCAATGTCAACCGTCATTCCCGGGATGACCTTCATCAGAACTTGCACAACGTACTCCCTCTTGTTATAGTTGTCATTGTGCAGCATCACTCGGTATGGTGGAGACATTTTCCTTGATTTCCTGAACAAAATTGATCGAGGAAAAGCTTAGTAAATTATACTTTCTAATGTTAATCAAATGATTTATACATGCAACGGAGCAAAGGGCTGTTAAATCTTGAAATAGTTTCTAACCCTCAAATATTTAATTATTAATAACAGGCTTGTAGCTCGTTAGGAGCTTTCACCCTTATACTCGAGGTCTTGAGTTCGCGATTCTTGTATTGGCACTTGCTATGTTTCTTACTTTCTTTGAAAGCTTTAATCGTTTGCTTAATTGTACTGAGCTAAGTCGGCCTTACGTTCAACACCCTTCAAGATGCTAGATATGATGTTGGGGTTTCAAGAATTTTCATCCCACAAACAAATTTTACCTTGAGGGACTTCAAAGTACCGAGAACCTTTAGATTATATTATTAAAAATGCACTACTAGAACACTACCAATGAACGGCTCAAACGCTACAAAGCACCACACTAAGCAAAAGACTTTTAAGGTGTTATTAGAAAGTTTTCTCAAATATATTGCATCTCATCATTTCTAATCTTCTAACTTTTGTAGTACATTCTGAATAAGTTTAGTATAAGTTCTATAAAACTTTGAAGTCTCTCATCTAAACGCACCATAAATTCTACTTTATTTACCTCACGTCAAATTCAGAGTCACGACCAGGAGTTGTTTTCTCTATGGTTGGCTTGTCCAACACCCCACCACCTGTGCCAAGCCTGGTGCTCGATGCTGTCATCAAGATGCTCCGATTTGGACTTTGTCTGTGGAAATAATGTTTATCACCTGTTACATGGTCAATAATAAAACCTTGAGTTAACCAACAAACCCAAGCATGTTTACTACGCAACATAGGAATGTAAAAGAGAGAAACTCATCTATAGCGGTATTACCGCATCGATCTTGGTACTTCAAGTCAATCACGCATTATCACATGTAGTGCGTGATTGACTTAAGATATCACCTCCATATATAACACCACATATTGTTCCTCGGAAAATGCATAAAAGAGTTTTAGAAATCAAATCTTATCACGCTGCGTATTGTGCATAATTATTTGGGATATTGTCACCGTGACATCAGGCGCATGATAAAGTTTCTCAATTTTAAGAGTTGAAAAATTAGAGTACAAAATACAGAATCTGTGCCTACGAAAATGTATAAAATAGTTTTAACCATCTCCACAAATGGATGCAAACTTGACAAAAATTACAGAAATAGTGCGTGAACTGAAATTTTTGCTCAAATTTGAAAGAGCCCAGAAACACAAAGTACCTGATTTGTTGAGATTGAATCCATGGTTTGGCGAAAGAGGGACTCGACCGCAGATGGCAGCCATGAGCCTCTCCCTCCTCTCTCACACTCTCTCTCAAACTCGGAGTGTTTGTGCCACAAGAGACTGGAAAGGAGAATGTGTGGCAATGGCATATACAGGTTGTGTGGTCCGTGGCTTCTGATGGTGTTAGTTAACGACACGTCGTATGATAATCATTCTGTGGAAAATATCCGGCTCTTGGACTTTGTGTGGCACTGAGTCTCTGGGAGGAGAGACAGTATGATGAACATGGAAAACGACGTTTAACCTTCACCAAAATGTTAATGAAATAAAGTATTAATGCTCCTTAATCTATGGAATGATGAAGATAAGAATGCTGGAGAAATTTTTCAGTGTAATCGGTACACTACGTGTCATTATACAAATGGTGGATATGTGTGTTAAAAAATTAATAACTTAAAAAATAAAATTTTGCACCACTTATATGAAAACACGTAATGTACCTCTCGTATTCCGGTCACAATAAAAACAAGATCAAGCAAAATCATACTTTGTGATTACATAGTCAAGGGTCTACTGTACAGGCACTCGTTGTATAGCCTAGCTTTTATTACTTGTAGTTGGATGTAGTTGGGAGCTGCTGCCTTTATTGTCGCGAGAAATATTATGTCAGCCACTATATTTTAACAGCATAGCCACTCCTCACACTCCGCACTAACAATATTTCCAGTTTGCCATGGAGCTCTTCCCTCTGCAATCTTTCCTCCTCCTCATTCTCCTTATCTCCCTCTCCCTCTACCTCTACCTCCATTTTTTCGATTCTTCGAATAAGCACAAACACACTGGCTTCAAAAGCTACCCAATTCTCGGAGCCCTACCGGGATTCCTAAAAAATCGACACCGGTTCCTTGACTGGACAACTGAAATCCTTACCAGCTGCCCCACCAGCACCGGAATCGTCAACCGCCCGATACAAATCCGCGGTGTCATAACTGCCAACCCTGCCAACATCGAGCATATGCTGAAAACCAACTTCGAGAACTACCCGAAAGGCAAAAGGTTCATATCCCTTATCGAAGACTTTCTCGGTGACGGAATTTTCAACTCCGACGGCGAGCTCTGGAAGGTCCAAAGGAAGACTGCCAGCTATGCCTTCAACACGAAATCGCTCCGGAACTTCGTTATGGAAAACGTTAGGGTTGAGATTGAGTCGAGGTTAATTCCGTCCCTGGACATAGCCGCCGAAACAGGACGCCGTTTAGACTTACAAGATGTTTTGGAACGCTTTTCTTTCGACAATGTTTGCAAGTTAGCCTTTAATGTAGACCCGAATTGTCTCGGAAGCGGTGGTGGTGGAAAATCTGAGTCCACGGATTTCGATTCCAATCTCAATCCGGATCAGTTCATGCATGCATTTGAAGAAGCAACCACACTTATCTCTGGGAGATTTTTCTATGCATTTCAATTTATGCTAAAGATTAAGAAGTTTTTCAACTTTGGATCAGAGTGGAGGTTAAAACAATCAATCTCGACCGTCCATAGCTTCGCATGTAAGATTATAAAGTCGAGAATTAGCGACGAACAGTTGGAGGATCATCAGGATTTGTTGTCCTTGTTTATTGGTATTCCCGAAAACACCAACTCGTCAAATTTTCTTAGAGACATCGTGATAAGCATCATTCTCGCCGGCCGAGACTCAACATCATCGGCTCTGACGTGGTTTTTCTGGCTTCTGTCGTCCAGACCTCATGTCGAGCGTGCCATTTTAAATGAGCTCGAAATGATTAGGGTCCAAAACGGGAAAAGTATCGGTGATATTTATGATTTGGACGAGCTCCGAGACATGCACTATTTGTACGCGGCAATTTCAGAGGCGATGCGGCTGTACCCTCCCGTACCGATCGACACGAGGGAGTGTCTAAACGATGATGTCTTGCCGGACGGGACAGCCGTGGCGAAGGGGTGGTTAGTGACGTACCATGCTTACGCGATGGGGCGGATGGAAAGGATATGGGGGACTAATTGTCGCGAGTATTTGCCGGAACGGTGGCTGACCGAGGACGGCACATGTCGACATGAAAGTGTTTTCCGGTATCCAATATTTCATGCTGGGCCAAGGATATGTCTGGGGAAGGATTTGGCCTATATTCAGATGAAGTCGATTGTAGCATCGGTGATGGAGAGGTTTGTGATCGACATACAGGATAGGGATACTTGTCCTGAGTATCTGTTGTCTTTGACTCTCAGGATGAAAGGTGGACTGCCCGTGAGTGTGAGGAGGAGGAGATTTGTAGCTGATGACCAGTGATTATGTGATGTTGTTTGATTGGACAATCTTAATAAGATCCTAATTATTCTAAATTTCATATATCATTCTTAAATATGCAAAATTGTTGTGACATTGATTACAACACATATGATTATGTAAATTACTAGTAGATTGTACTTAGGATATTAGAAGATTCTAAATTTCGTATATACACAATGTATAATAATATGTGTATGCATGTTAGGACTCGTGCTTATATATAACCGAAGTGTTTTTTATTAGAAACATGTTAGAAATGTTTATGGATGGTTTTGGTAAATTTTATCATGGTAAGTGTTTTGAGTACATCTTGTTGGTATATGGTCCAGCCCATGATGAATGTTCTAGATTATTCTAGTAAGCAAGTGAGGTAGCTGGAGCATGCTAGACAATTCTAGCATGTTATTAAGTTGATGGAAGAAGCTAGAGAGTACTAGCTTCCTTGGTTGCAAATGGATAGATCTAGAAGCTATAATTTTGTGGCTAGTCTAGAGTTATCTATGCTAAAGGTTTGAAGAATACACTAGAAACTAGTAGAATGCCAAACCCTCACCTATAAATATGGTTGTGATGTTGTAGTAAAGTAACCAATTAAGAACCAAGTGTGAGTAGCAAAGAATCAAGTCCAAAGCTAGAGTTCCACTCCAAGAGTGAGAGTGAGAGTGTTCCACTACACATTGTGAGTGAAGTTTAGAGTGATAGAAAGTGTGTGTCATACTTTCCTGTATCCATCAAGCTTTGTCTTTGGCTTGGTAAGACTACTATTGTTGTACTCATCTTTTTCATATAGTGAAGATTGATCCTTATTTAGTGGACGTAGGCATAAATTGCTGAACCACATAAATTCTTGGCTCGTACTACGAGATGGAAGGAAGTGGCACTATGATCAAACTCACCAACTCCAATTGGGTAACATGGAAGACAAGGATGAAGGACATTCTCTATTGCAAGGATCTGCATGAGCCAATTGAAGGAGATGCCGCTAAGCTCGAGAGCATGTCTGATGCCGAGTGGAAGAAGATGAATCGCAAGGCTATTGGCACAATTAGACAATGGGTGGACGATAGTGCTTTTCATCATGTGTCTAATGAAACCAATGCTAGCAAGTTTTGGACGAACCTTGAGTCCTTATTCGAGAAGAAGACCCCAGCCAAGAAAGCCTTCTTGATCAAAGAGCTCATCCATGTGAAGTACAAAGATGGTTTAAGTGTAGCAGAACACTTGAACAATTTCCAAAATATCATCAACCAGTTGGCTACTATGAAAATGACGATTGAGGACGAGCTGCAAGCGCTATTGCTACTTGGATCCTTGCCAGACAGTTGGGAGACCTTTGTGGTGAGTGTAAGTAACTCTACTCCTACTGGTGTTCTTACTCTTGATAATGTAAAAAATAGCTTGCTCAATGAAGAAATAAGGAGAAAGACTTCAAGCACAGATAGCAGCCAAGTATTTGTCACAGAGAACCGCGGAAGAAGCAAGAGTAGAGGGCCTAGAGGTCATGGCAGAAGTCCTAGCCGATCCAAATCAAGGTTCAGGGGTACATGCCACCATTGTGGCAAAGAAGGCCATATGAAGAAAAATTGTCGAGTTTAGAAGAGAGAGCAAACGGAAGGAAACAATTAGAAGAAAGATGATACTGGCAATACCACCGCTGTCATATGTGGTGATGTACCAAAAATATTGTCTGTTGGTGAATGTCTGCATATGGGCAACTCTGACAGAGACATTGAATGGATATTTGACAATGGAGCTTCCTTCCATGCTGCGTCAAACGGGAGTTCTTTAGTACATACAAAGAATGTGACTTTGGCATAGTGAAGATGGGGAATGAAAGCTATTCCAAAAGTTGATGTTGAAAGATGTGAGACATATTCCTGATATACGTCTCAATCTGATATCCATTGGTACCCTTGATCGACAAGGTTATTATCACCATATGGGCGAAGGAAAATTGAAGCTTACTAAAGGCTTAATGGTGGTACCAAGAGCACGACTTTGTTGTATGTTGTACCGGTCAAATGCCAAGGTTTTGAAAGGTGAGTTGAATGTTGTGGATGACTCATCTTTAGACTTATGGCATAAGAGGCTAGGCCATATGAGCGAAAAAGGCCTACAAGTTTTGGCAAAGAAGTCTCACATTCCCTTTGCCAAAGGTACGCCGTTAAACTCTTGTGAGCACTGTTTATTCGGAAAACAAAGAAGAATTAGTTTTTCTGTTCCATCTACAAAGAAAGGAAATTTGCTAGATCTTGTTTATTCAGATGTGTGTGGTCCCATTAAAGTTGAGTCACTTGGAAGAAATAAATATTTTGTTACTTATATTGATGATGCTTCACGAAGGGTCTGGGTGTATTTGTTGAAATCCAAAGACCAGGTATTTCAGACATTCCAGGAGTTCCATGCCATGGTGTAGAGGGAAATTGGGAAACCTCTCAAGTGCCTTCATAGCAACAACGGCGGCGAGTACACATCTCACCAGTTTAGAGAGTATTGTGCGAAACATGGCATACGTCATAAGAAGACAATTCCTGGAATTCCACAACATAACGGTGTTGCTGAAAGAATGAACCGAACCATCATGGAGAAAGTCATGTGTATGCTGAGAACTGCAAAGTTATCTAAACATTTATGTGGTGAAGCTGTAAGGACAGCCTACTAGTTGATCAACCGATCTCCATCAGTACCATTAGGTATTGATGTTCCAGAGAGAGTATGGACTAGTAATGATGTGTCTTACTCTCATCTGAAGGTGTTTGGTTGCAAAGCTTTTGTGCATGTGCCTAAAGAGCAGAGATCGAAGTTAGACTACAACGATACACCGTGCATCTTTCTTGGTTATGGCGGTGAAGATTTTGGTTACAGATTATGGGACTCATACCAGAAGAAGTTTATCCGAAGTAGAGACGCGGTCTTTTATGAAGATCAAACAATTGAGGATTCGGATAAAGAGGCACAACCAGATGGTGCAGTCAGAGGAGTTGATCCATTAGCTTCAGATGAAGAAAGTCACGATGACATCCCTAAAGCAGCTGCCAATGAAGTGCCTACAGAACCATATAATGTTGATCAGGGGGAGCCTGATCAAGATGTGCCAGACCATGAGATTGCTTATCAGGGGGAGCCTAGTCAAGAAGAGCAGATTCAAGGAGAACCCAATCAGGGGGAGCCTCCAGCCCCACATGAGAATGAAGATCAGGTCAGAAGATCCAGCAGAGGTCAAATACCGTCTACCAAGTATTCTTCATCAAAGTATATCATGTTGACTAATTATGGAGAGCCTGAAACTTATGAAGAGGCCAAAGCTCATAACGACAGTGATAAATGGATGAAGGCAATGGAGTCAGAGATGGATTCCTTATTAAAGAATGAAACCTATGAGCTGGTAGAGCTTCCAAAGGGCAGAAAAGCGCTGAAAAACAAATGGGTGTTCAAATTGAAAAGGGACGACAACATGACAAGGTACAAGGCTCGTTTGGTTGTCAAAGGTTTTGGTCAAAAGAAAGAAGTTGACTTTGATGAGATTTTCTCACCGGTGGTGAAGATGACTTCCATTCAAGTTATACTTGGTATGGCAGCAAGCATGGATCTTGAGCTCGAGCAGTTAGACGTTAAAACTGCATTTCTCCACGGCAACTTAGAATATGAGATATATATGGAGCAACCCAAAGGCTTTGAAGTCAAAGGTAAAGAAACTTTGGTGTGCAAGCTCAAGAAAAGCTTATATGGTCTTAAGCAGGCTCCGAGATAGTGGAATAAGAAGTTCAACTCATTCATGGTGAGTAATGGGTACAAGAGAACTCATGCTGACTCTTGTGTTTATATCAAACAATTTTCTGGAGGTAAATTCATCATTTTATTGCTTTATGTTGATGACATGTTGATGGTCAGTCAAGATGCTTCTATGATTAAAAAGCTCAAAGAAGAGTTATCTAAGTCATTCGACATGAAGGACTTAGGGCCAGCCAAGCAGATTTTGGGCATGGAGATAATTCGTGACAGAAAATCCAAGAAGTTATGGCTGTCACAAGAAAAGTATGTTGAACGGGTGCTTGAAAGGTTCAACATGAAAGTAGCCAAATCGGTAAGCTCACCTTTAGCCAATCATATCAAGTTGAGCAAAGAGTTGTGTCAAAAAACATATGAAGAAAAGGAGAAAATGGCAGTTGTTCCCTACTCTTCAGCAGTAGGAAGTATCATGTATGCAATGGTGTGCACACAACCAGATATTGCTTATGCAGTAGGTGTGGTGAGCATGTTTCTCTCTAATCCAGGGAAGAACCACTGGGAAGCTGTTAAGTGGATTCTCAGATATTTGAACGGGACTTCTAAGATGTGCTTATGCTTTGGCAGTTCCAAACCAATCTTGGAAGGATTTACAGATGCTGACATTGGAGGTGACTTGGATGGTAGAAAATCTACGTCTGGGTACTTGTTTACTTTTGCAGGGGGAGCCGTGTCTTGGCAATCCAAGTTGCAAAAGTGTGTTGCTTTGTCCACAACCGAGGCTGAATAGATAGCTGCTATAGAAGCATGCAAGAAGTTGTTATGGCTGAAGCGGTTTCTCCAAGAGTTGGGTTTGAAGCAAAGTGATTATGGCGTTTATTATGATAGTCAGAGTGCTCTGGATTTGAGCAAGAACACTACATATCATTCACGCACTAAGCACATTGATATTCGTTATCACTGGATTAGAGATGTTATCGAGAACAAGTTGCTACAGCTGAAAAAGATTCATACCGATAATAATTCTTCAGACATGTTGACAAAGGTAGTCACAAAATTAAAGTTGGAATTCTGCATTAAGGCTGCTGGGATGGACTCCAGGTAACTTGGAGTCATGATTGGAATTCCTCCCTCATGGATTGGACGGGGAGATTGTTGGTATATGGTCCAGCCCATGATGAATATTCTAGATTATTCTAGTAAGCAAGTGAGGTGGCTGGAGCATGCTAGACAATTCTAGCATGTTATTAAGTTGATAGAAAAAGCTAGAGAGTACTAGCTTCCATTGTTGTAAATGGAAAGATCTAGAAGCTACAATTTTGTGGCTAGTCCAGAATTATCTATGCTAGAGGTTTGAAGAATACA